GCCTCCATGAAGAAAGCTTGTCAGGTGCCCATATCTGTGATGCACAGAGACCAGAAAGAAGAAAGTCAGGGTGCTTACCTGTAACTAGCAGAGAAAATTGCTTGCTGGACTGCCTCATTCCTTTTGTCAGCAGCTTATTCTCTCCCCCCCCCCCCCACTTAGACCTCTCCCTTCTGTCCAAATTTACCTGCTTCCTGGGTTAGAAATCTCTATTCCACCTTCTCCTTTTCTTTGGTCTCAGATGTTTCATTAACATCTTATATCTTCAGTTATGTCAGCAGTTACACTTTCTTGTTGACAGCCTTATGATCCACTGAAGTAGAATTTGATCTCTTGTGAGAGATAAATATTCTTAAGCTGTTCTGCAGTAGCTGAAGTCTGCGTGTGGTGACTGAAAATAAAGGGAGAGTTGAGGGCTTGCTCTGCATGTAGTTGTATCTTGGTTTTTAAAGCTGTTTTAAGTTGTGGGGGTGGAGTGGATATGTTAGTGAAAGAGTTTTAAATTTCCCAAATGAGAGAGCTGTGACTTTCAGTGACCAATTCGTGTTAGTTAAATGGGGTTGCAGATAGAGCCAAACACTCCAAATGTGAGATGTGTCTGCTATTACAATCCTGAAAATACTTAGAAGGCAAAGAATGTTTTTAATGCTCCTTGTAAATCAGGCAGAAGTGCTGGAGAGAACTAACAGTATTGAAAATAATTTCCAAAATGCATGAGGTTCATCACTTTCACTAAGGCTGACTTCTCCCTTATGCCATTTCTGATATTACATTGCTTGTAGTCTTTTTTTAAAGCACAAAAATTAAGAGCAAGATTCATGTATTTGGTAAACATACACTTTAGGGAGCAATTCCATGCGTGTGACAGAAAGTCTTACAACTTGCAGAGTTTCTGAGCCATTTTTTTCTGTTCAAGATCCTTTCTATTTAAACATGTGCAGCATTGTACCATTAAATTGTTTACTACTTAGTTTACCACAATCTAAACTTCTGAGCCAAGATCAAACATGTTATGTCAATGTTTTAGTTAGCAAGCTGAAAAAATAATGGTATATCTTAAGCTTCTATGAGTGCAATCTTATTCATTTTTGGTAGAAAAAAAGATTCTGTAACTCCCAATATTTGGCTAGCTGAAGAAATTTGGCAGTAGAACTTGTTTCTGTTTAAACCTGCATAGTATAACATCATATTGAGAGTGAACATTTTATAAGGTAGCTACAGAGTATAATAATTTGTGACTACATTATATTGTAAGTTACCTGCCTTGTTATTTTTGAGTGTCTATTTCCATTTAAGAATAACAGATGGATATGTCTGTAAGCTGTCCAGAGACGGAAGTAATGGATGGCATACAAATTTTATGCTTAATTATTTTAGCAGCTGTTTTGCACTTTTCAATGAGCAAACCCAAAGTAACCTGGATGAAATCATTAAATGCTCCATTTCAAATCATAAATACCACTGTTTGGATTTTTAAAACGCTACTAATAACTTGTCAGAGTCTGCCTGCCTTAAAAGGCTTTGATTTGAAATTGAACTTGCTATATTTCCAAACCAGAGCAACTGGAGTATTCTTTACTTATCCAGAAGATGAAAATGTTGCCCCAGCTGCAAAGCAGCATCAACTCCTTAGTGAATAACTGCATGTGTTGGAATTCTGCTGACTTACAGCAATGGCCACATGATACAGTATCTGGCTGTTAACCTTCCTAGTGTAATCTTACCTTAGTGTGCAGTGTACAAATAAAAGGAATAAAAATGCATGCAACAACTATAAAGTGCAGAAGCAAAACAGGACCTTCATTACAATAAATTCAAGAACTGACATTAATCACTAAAGTTCCAGGGAATAATGACATCTTCACTAGCCATCTGAAGGATGAAAAAACAGTTAACATAGTCTCCATAAGGAAGAAGTACCATAACTAAGTACTACCACACAAAAGACCCTGTTTCATGGATCAACAATCCACACCTCTTAGAATAGTGGGTTGTCTAGCAGGGCCTCAGGTGACAAAATGCAAATTATAGATATAGGCACAGCAGATGCCACTTACAAAATGGTAAGTGCTGACTTCACTGTCAGTTATTGAGCACCTCTATTGCATTCCTCTTGAAGCCTTGTCATCCCGCAGCTTAAATTCCTGCTCGAACTGACTCATTACTGTTAATGTGTGATGAGATGCATATTTGTCTATTTTTATAAAAGTGATACACTTAATCAGATAGCCAGTAGTCTTTTTACAGCTTTTCTCAGATAGGAGCACACAGAAGACTGTAATAACATAAGCATATCCATGGATTTACTAACTGAATAAATATTGGAAATTCTTATGTTTGTTTTCAGTTTGGTATATTGTATAGGAACCAAAAGCTGGTTCCCAAATAGTGAGAATCCAATTTTTGCACTTCTTGGAATGTAATGCAAGATGCAGACACTTCAAACTGCATATGTAAATAAGTACAGAATCCATAAAATTTGGCCTTCTGTAAATCTAGACATTAATTTTGGCTCCATGTCTATTGTGGACAATGTCTATTGTATAAAAGTACATTTTAATAATTTCTATCCTGCCCAATAACTTAAGCTGTCTGGGTGGTTGGTTTATAGCATAAAATAAACACAAAAATACATTATACGTTAAAATATTATTTTTAAAGGGTTGGCATACAAAATTTAAAATCAAATTTATAGATGTGGTAAAAAATAGTTTAAAATTGATTAATTTATAATTCATTTCTCTTATGCAGTAATTGACATAAAGATTATACTTTTTTCCATAAGTATGTTATATTTCATTGAAGTTTCATTAGATTGTTTCTAGTACTGTATTTATTAATATTTCTCAATAAGAATTTTCCTTTCAAAATTCAATTATTACTTGGAGCAAACATAACAAGTTAGCTGTTTTGAAAGTAATGTTCAGTGACAAGATCAAGTAAATTGCAAAAGAATGAGCTAAAGTTTAATCCTCTTCCCCCACCCAAGTTCTTTCTGAACTGCTATTGTACATCTTTCATTAATACAGTTTTAGCACACTTAGACTTATGGTTTAGTATGACAGTAACTCCACATGGCAATTGTTGTGTGTGAATGTCACCAGTCCTATGAAATTGCACTAGTCTTACGGAAGGTCTCAACAGTACAATAATTTGTCTAGAGTTTTTATATTGTGGCTGTAAGAATCAGTCCTCAGGTATATGTAGGTGGCATGCAGGTCTTGTTCAAACAGGCTATCCCAAGTATAAAATGTAGGCATTGAGCATGTTATAGTGGCTAAATGTGTTAGGATCACAAAGTAGGAAGGCCTGCTTGTCACACTGTCTTTTACCTTAAGTCTAGCTGTCTGTAGACCACAAGTGGCTAACATACCTATTGAATTACCTGTTGTGATTAGAGAAGCATCTTAATTCCAGAGCTCTGTGAGTTTACACTAGCAAGTGATATCAAAAGTTGGAGTGCCCAGTAGAGCAGGTTCCTAAATGGCATGCACCTTTCTCCATAAAATAAGTTGCGGTGAAATGTACAAAATGCTAGTGTTGGTCTGTCATCTTTCACCATGTGAAAGTACTTACTAGCTAACTTACTAACCACTGTGTTAATCATATCAGGGTATTCCTCCAGCAAACAGAAAACTGAAAAATGGTACACTTTTAAAGTTCGTAACATTTTGATAGAGAGGTGTGGAAATAGGATCCCTTTTGTTAAATGTGGGTTACGAGACATGTGGCAGGCCAGTAGATAGCTGGAATATTGGGCTATGGCAGCTTCTCCTTCGTATGTTTGAATTGGTCTCAACTTGGGAAAGGAGCATTTATGTTGCAGTCGGGTATTTCTTTCTGAAAATGGGACAGAGATTATATGAGTGGAACTTCCTCCTTCACCTGTTTTAACAAATTTCCTGCTAGAGAGAGGAATTTCTCATGAAATTTGGAGATCTGTTTATGTTTGCATAAGGGAAACTTTGTCTACTAGCTTAACATAAGCCATAGATAAACAGAGCAGCACATTAACACCTGAGCCTGTAAGGTTTTTTCTAAGTCTAACCAGCATAACACAAAACCACTCTTCAAGTTAGAGCTCTGTAATAGCTACCCATCAGTTTGACAGTTGAACTAGACTGAAATCATTTTTGTCCGCTTCAGTGATTGTCTATTTAGGCCCCTTGTTGAAATATGGGAGTCATGCCCTTACTGTGAAAGAGGAAAAACATGTAGCTCTTTGGTAAATTTTAGTGCAGAGTTGGCTTGTTTTTTGTAAGAAGAAGGAACTGTATCATTCGAACATTCAATGGGAAGCTAGTAGAAAATGTGGAAAAGAGTGGTCAAATTCCTTTACCTTTCTTCAATGCCTCCCACAGTTCAAAGCAAACAACTTCTCACTTTTGCCACCATATTACTAGCAGCAGTGGAGATTTCATCAATTTCCCCCTTTTTCCTGTGTAATTGCTTTAATGACAGTATATTTCGTGTGATTCATGTGTTGCTGAGTATCTGTGGAATCACATGTACGAATGATTAGTGCCGCAACGGATTCTGATCTAGACACAGGTCTGATGTCTTCCTGTGTGAACAGAAGGGAAAGCAGTGACTGTGCTGTACATGCCTTGTGAACAACCTGTTTTTCTGGACTAGTAAGAAGAGATGTTGATAAAAAGCGAAATCTTAGTAAGGTAGTTAGTTGATGTACCTCTGGGACAGATGTGATCTGTAAGCTTTCTGTGTGTTCCTTTGGTGCATGTGTCACAAAGTGCCATGCTTGAATGTGGTAAGTTTGGAGACATAATAGAAAAATGCCAAAGCCTTTCTAGCTATTATTAATAGAGGTAAAGACAGTCCATCTATCAAGAGAAGGATATGGGTAACCCAAAGGGGTGACGGGAAGAGACTCCAGTACTTGCAATTAGTTTTCTGGAATGTAATATGAATGTACTGCATGTGTGTGTAAGTGGCCCCCTTAGCCAAGGTTCATGGCATCTCTACTTTTTTTTTTTTTACAGACTGTTGATAGATCTTCACTCACTGGGATATCTGAGTGGTGGTGGTTTTGCTCCTTAAGAAATTGTTCCTTCCACTCCATGCAGCTCTCCCCATGCCCCAAGTGTGTAACTGGTGCTCTGCGCAATGTGTGTTTGTCAAACCATGGAGGTGGGGAAACATGGGAAGAATGCAACCCACACAGGAGCCCGAGGGGTCCTGCTGGAACCTTTCATCCATCAAGTGGGCGGCCACAGCAGTATGATGCGCTACGATGACCACACTGTATGCAAGCCTCTAATCACCAGAGAACAGCGCTTCTATGAGTCCCTGCCTCCAGAAATGAAGGAATTCACACCTGAGTACAAAGGTGAGCTTCCCACCACCTAAACTGCCTTTCTGGTGTTGGATGGGAAACACTTTTCTAAATACAAGTAGTTATACTGTGAGGGTGTAGGTAAAGCCTACATGCTGTCTTCCCATGCATTAACAGAGAAGACATTGACAAGAACAATTACTTCATGGCCTGAGGTGACTTGGGTGCTTGTCCAATTAAGTAATGCTTTTATTTCATGGATGTTGTTGCTGATGTGCAATACTTCTAGAGCCCACTTCTAAGCATGTTTCATTAAGATAAGCCCTGTTTACTTCCCATAGAACTTAGCTTCCAGTAATGTTCAGGACTGCTGCCATAGATCTGGCTTATGCATGCTAGATTTGCTAGATTTCCTCATAAGGAGCAGCCTGGATAAAATAATATATGAGGCATGGGAATGTCCAGCTTCTTGATGGCAGTTTATGGAAGTGGGACATTTTTTTTAATGCTTCTGAGCTCATGCATGCTGCCACTCAAAACGATTATTTCCTGTTTGAGGTTGTAGCTTCAGGATGGTCTGACTGGAGAATTCTATTGCATATTAACTGGCCCTTAATAATCCAGTAAAAAGTGCACTGAGTTTTTTTAAACCTCACGTCCCCCCTTTTGTTGCCTACTGTAAGAAATAAGTGTTGATTTTTTTTTTTCAAGTAGCTATTTTATCTTGGTGAATGTATCTTTATAGCAGACTGTTGAAGCTTAAGTCTCACTGCATGTGGAGAGTTTCCACACAATTTAGAAGTTGCATCCAGTCATTTCTTTGCTAGTCCAATTCTCTGAAGCTTCCTGGCTCTGACAAGACAGTGCATCAGGTTAATGAAGTGGAGAAGAATGCATAGTATATTTGTGTTATTTGCAAAGGTTGTGAGAACTTGAAAAATGGGGTATTGAATATTGGTAAGCACTGTAGCTTACTGCTGCATATTTTATGCTTGGACTAGAAAGGTGCTAAATTTAAATAAATGTTAGATTTTCAATAAAATACTGATAGGAAACATGAATGTTCTTGCAAACTCAAACATAAAGAAGATGAAACACTGTGCATGGGCACTGTCTACTTTATAGATGAGGCTGTGTACCAGGTTGCAGAAGAAAACTGTGTTCTATATTACAGCAAAGAAGGATGATCAGAAGACCATGTATATTTTCCAATTAATTTAATTGGAAAAATGTCACAATGCGAAACCCAATTAGTTGTTTCGATTTTGATACAACATATAAATTCCCATTACTGTTGAAGTGGTCTCCTGTATCACAAGGAAAAATTGTCTGCATCTCAACCTGAAGTCATTCTAATTAAAATTAAGGGTGATATGCAAAAAGGTAGCATTTTGTTCACAAATTTACAAGACCAACAAGAACACTTGGAAAGCACAGATTGGGCATAGACTCTGTGAATAATAGCTAGAACTGAACTGAGATTTATTATATCTTCTTGCTGAACTGAGATTTATTGTATCTTCTTGGAACAGAGTTCTAATTCCAGAGTATGTTTAGCTTCCATTCTAGTGGGTCATCAGAATATGCATTGCTATGCTGTATTTTTCCAACTTGAACTAAGGTGGTCTGAAAAGGATATGATTGCTAGCCTAGAATTTGAAACCTAGTGTTTTACGGGTTCATGGTTAAGTTCATTCCACTTACCTGTGTAATAAAGTTTCAGTCATGGAGATTGCTGTTCTTGCATTAGCTAGACCAAAGTTGGCTGACCTGTATTTTTTGAAGGTTTCTTTATGTGATTGTGGTCCCCAGACTAGAAAATGATCCCCTCAAAAGTAGTCAGGATCCATAATAAAATCAGGGCTTTCGAAGTTGTGGAGTATACATGCTATAACATAGCAGTTCCTATAATATACACACTGGAATGTTACATACAAGATTGCATACCAAAATGAAATACATGTTATTGAAATACAGCATATATATCAAAGAGAGAAATAATATCCTCTTCTCCAAATGTAAAAGCCCAGTTTTCCCCCAATAAGTCAGTAATAATTAGACCACTCATGGTGCACCTATGAGCACAACCCGTAGTAAATATTAAGCAATTACTAAAGAACTTTTCATCTCAGATACAACACCACTTCCTCAAAGTATGTCATGTTGTAACCTTTTTGTCATCCATCCCCATCAGATAAATCATTTTTTGTATCTGAAGAACTTGCAATTTTACTAATCAGAGCATACATCCAAGATTAGTAGAAAATCTGTTGCTGTTATCAGAAGTATTTGAGTTGGAGAGATTGAAGAATTGCTTCTTGGCACCATGGGTACACCTGTATATGCATACACTTAGTGCAAAATTTCCTGCCCCTCCCTTTTATCTCATGGTTTTCTTCCTAATCCATTCCTTGGCAATCGCTTTTGATAGTGATATTTTTGTAGATGTTAATTACCTACTAAAAATTTTCATGTGAGGAATGTTACCTATGGCTCGTTTCCGGCAGGTGTGGTATCTGTCTGTTTTGAGGGAGACAGTGATGGCTACATTAACCTGGTAGCATATCCTTATGTGGAGAGTGAATCCTTGGAGCAGGATGATACACCAGAGAGGGACCAACCACGTCGTAAACACTCTCGCAGGAGTCTCAACAGGTCAGGCAGTGGCAGTGAGCACAAAGAGGAGAAAGCAGGTCTGGCTGCCGACACCTCAGAAAGGTACTGTGTATTTCTGTAGCTTTTTCTTCATTTCAAAAGGTTCAGCAGCTTCTGCTGCTGCTTTTTTAATGATCTGCAACAAGTGACTGGCTTGCTAGGTATTTCCTGACCCCCCTCTATAAAGTTACACAAAGATGGCTGTGGGTAGCCAGTCAATATGTGAAAGATGCAGTATGCTCCGCTCTCTTACACAATTATATAGGGAAAGCGACTAACTTTAGCACCCAAAAATTAACTTCTGTTCTTATCTAATTCCAGTTCTTATTTGTGAGTCATCTAATCTCATGGTTTGCCAACAGCATCCAGGACACAAAGAGCCTCAAGAGCTCCCATTCAGATGTTCCATTTCAGATGCTAGACGCAAATAGTACTGTGAGTTCTGAAAAGATCACCTTTAATCCATGGAGTCTGCGTTGCCACAAGCAACAGTTGAGCCGCATGCGTTCAGAATCCAAGGACCGAAAACTCTACAGTATCCTCTAGGAGGTAAACCTTAGTTTAAAACGGTTTATACTGTGTGATTAGCTTCATGATCAGGCTTTGGTGGGCATTAACAAGTCTGGCTGCCAGGATATCCTTGTTCAGAGTATTTTTTCTTTAACTCAGCTTACCTTTCCTATACTGCTTCCTCATGATCATCAGCCTTTTTGTTTGTTTGGCTGTCTCCTGTAGCCCAGCCCAAATGTAATTTCTGGAAAGGAAGGTTGGCTCTTGCTTTCAGAATGGAGGTTTTTTACTTAAAATGCCAAAGTAGACTCTCTCTTTCCTGAATGGTTATCTCCCCTTTCTGAAGATACGGTGCTTATTTCCCCCCTAACATTTATCAGCTAAGGGTGCATGTTTTGTTTCTTCCCTGGCTTCCTGTTTCTGTCAGAACTCCTGCTCTTTACTGGAGCATTCTTTAGAAAGCAAGAAAATGTCTCTACAGGGTTTTTTTGCAACCAAGCAAGGCATTTATAGGAATGCAGAACTTCAAGAAACTAATTCTCCTTGACCAGTTCCTCAGAATTCCTTTTGCTGGAGAATGTGGTACACCATTTCAGATTTCCCTGTGTGCTTGACCTGAAAATGGGGACCAGACAGCACGGGGATGACGCATCCGAGGAGAAAGCTGCTCGACAGATGAAGAAGTGCGCACAGAGCACCTCAGCCACACTAGGTGTACGAGTTTGTGGGATGCAGGTACTCCATAAGCTGCTAGTAAAACATGGTCACTTGTTAGGATGTATAGTCAGTATGAGTATTCTCCTGTGCATGGAATATCTGACAGAATTTGACAACCGATGCAGAAGCCTAATAATCTCTTGGTGCCTTGAAGGGAGAGTGTATGTGTGCATGCAGGGGGCACCTGTGGGTTTTATCCAACTGGGGTCTCTCACAAATGGAGTGATTTCTGTTAATGGAACATTACCAGGAGATTCCCACCTTTTCCTGCAGGTTGCCACACCTCCGCAAAACTACTTCATAGCTTCAGGGAATGCTCCAGAGCTTACTGTGCAGGGGGAAAGGATGGGAAAATTCTCCTGTGTGAGTGGAAGTCTGTTCATGCAGTACTGGATTTAACCCAGTAATATTGGACTCTCTAACATAACCATATATTTCTAGTCTGTGAACCTCATTGTGATTTACCCAGCCAAAGTCAAGGAAACAGATGGACAATGTTCAGCTTCAAATATAATGACAGATATTAAATAGCAGTAGGTAAATTTAGGCACTAATCCCATGTACAGTTCCCTTGAATCTTGGAATTTACTTCTAAATAAACACAGAATCACACTTCTGAGTGGAGCTGCAAAGCTGGTTCAGAATGCTGCCAACTTTCTCACAGCAAAGGTTCTCAACTAGTTATAGAGGCCTTCCTTTGGTATATTAGTTCAGTCCTTTTGAATTATAGTTAGGATAAGAGTAGTCATCTCAACTGTTAGTGTTCATGCCTCCACCTCATGGAGGTGGTACACACATTCTTAGCATTCCCCAACTCGTCACACTCTAGTATATTAAACTACAACTTCCAGAAATCTCAGCCAGCATGGCCAATGGCTTGTGATTCAATGCAGCTGGAGAGTGCCAGTCTGGGGAAGGTTGTCTTAGAATCAGTGTGGTACAATGGATAGCAGGCTTGGACATGAAAAATGTGTGTATCTTCTCTCTCTCTCTCTCTCTCTGAGATGCATGTACATTTCATTTTATGAAGCCATTTGGCATGTCCTACCCTTCCAAGTAGGTGGGGACTCAAAACACAGATCATCTTGCTTGCTTAGGGGCTACTTCAGGTAGGTGTGTGCTTGTTTTTCAGTCTTCCCCGTCACACTCCCTTACTAGCTAGACATCCTTTCACAGTTTGCATGCTGGTGCCCTCTGCTGGATTGGTTATTCTAAAGCTGCTACTAGTTTCACTACCACTTTTGGGTATTTCCAAGTGGTTATGTTTGGAGATTGAAACAATTATGGAATTGTTGATTCTGTGACGTCTGCTTCAGTGTTGAAAATTGTATCTTATTTTATTCAACAGCAGGGATGTCCTAAACAGACATTGTTTAACAAGGCATTTAGTTGCCTAGTCAGCAATTTTCGGGTGTGTCTTAATTCCAGGAGGGTCGAGTGTGGTCTTTTAAGGCCAGTTGCATTGTACTATACTTAGGGGAAAGGTTGAAGATACTTTTGGATGGGAACAGTGAAACTTGCACCCATTTCTGAAGTCCTGTTTACAGTACATTTCCTTTGCTGCTTAGTTGTTTCTTGTTCTACAGTGACTGGGTTCATTTTTCACTTTGCTCTGAGCCTCTGGGTGCTTGGGAAAGTGTAAAAGAGCATCCTAACTCCTCTTGATCTTGGGAAAAAGACTTACTCAGGCTGACTGAATAGTCCAAATACGTCCAAGTCTAAAACCACTGTTTTCTCACTCATAACCTCCTTTTTAATGGGACCCAGAGTTTTGACAGCTAGTTGTTAAAACCCCTAGTTCCTTGAAAAAAGGGGGTGAAGTGCACATTTGCAGTTACCTGAGCACCTGCAGGTTATGAACAAGGTGCATATATGCAGCATAATAGAACTAAAGATTAGGGAGAGGAGGGTTTTGCTAAACACTCCCTTCTTGCAAAAGTTCCTTCATAGCTTTGTTTTTTCTGTTGATAGCTTGCCCTCTGAGAGCTCTCATGAGGAACCAAAGGGAGTAAACAATGAATTTGGAGCCTCAGCTGGTGCCGTGTGTATTGTGGAACTTACTGGCCCTTGGCTGCAGGCACATCCTGGATATTGCCTCGGTCAAGGAAGCAGTTCCCTGTAATGCAGTATTATTAATTTGTTTATTCATTTTTGTACTGTCCCACAGCTGAAGCTTTTTAGGCAGTTTAGCACAGATCTTTCATAGTAATATAATCTTTTTTAAAATACATTTTTGCGCACAGCTGTGTATATAGAAAAATAAGTATGTTTTTGTGTGTGTACAATTTTGTGCACAAGTATTATTAAATGCTAGGCAGCCACAGGCAGCTATGCCACTGTCCTCACTGCTGTCCACATGCAGCTCTGTCCTAATAGTTGTTAAAATGGGGAGCTACAAAAAAGATAGTTTAAAAGGGAAGAAAAGCTGAGGCAAGCTTGAAATGCTCTTGCCTGCAATAGGGAAGGAGAGAAAAGACTTGTTCCTCCTATGCGGTGCCCTGGAATACCTACAAGAAGACTGAGTGGGAGGAGGTGGAAGAAGGGAGCACCTGATAATCTTACAGAGAGGCTTACATAATGAGCTTGATAATCTTACAGAGTCACTGTTCACAGAACAATTAACCTACTCTGGCTCATTGCCTGATTGGGTTAACATCACATGCCAACACACCCAAGGTCTCCTAATTTAATGGAGAACAGACATTTCAACAATATTTTAAATTGGCATAGCAAAGGACTTCTCTGTCATGACTTGCAGCAACTGTTCTTTGAAGAACTAGTTTGATGCTTCTGATTTTAGGCTGGGTCCCATGAACACTAGCATCTCAACAGTCAAAGGCTTTCTTGAGCTGCTGCAAAAAATAATAGTTGAACAATACTGCTGTGTAGATAATTACAGCAGTGAGAGCTGACTGCATTTCTAAACTACTTTATGATTTCTCTCTATGTTCTAGGTATATCAGCTGGATACAGGGCATTATTTGTGCAGGAATAAATACTATGGCAGAGGTCTTTCCACTGAGGGCTTTCGCAATGCTCTGTACCAGTATTTGCACAATGGTGCAGAGCTACGAAAGGACCTCTTTGAACCCATCCTTAGCAAACTGCAAAGCCTGAAGGCCGTGTTGGAGAGGCAGGCCTCTTACCGCTTCTACTCCAGCTCCTTGCTCATTATCTATGATGGGAAAGACACCCGGTCTGAGACACATATGGAGCGCAGGGCAGAGATGGGCCTGAAGCAAGCAGATCTTTCTCTCCCAGAGAGCCTTCAAGATGCCAGCAGCACAGAATCCATGTTTCAGCCGAAGGTGGATGTACGTATGATTGACTTTGCACACAGCACATTCAAAGGCTTCCGAGATGATCCCACTGTACATGATGGCCCTGATATGGGATATGTGTTTGGACTGGAGAGCCTTATCAACATAATTGGACAGATGCGGGATGAAAACCAGTAGCCTTGTGCTAGATTCCCTGTTTTTTTTCCCCCCTGAGGATAGGAACAAACAGGACCACCACTTCTACAGAGAAAGCAGACTCTACTGCTTCGAAAAAATTCTCTCGCTTCAGTGTGTGTTTAACCTCATCAAAGGACATGATTCCCTGGATCATCCTAGCGAAATGGCTTCAACTATTCTGGCCTGGACTCTTCACAGGAGAGACACATCCCATGGACCCCAGCATCGCGCATTTTATATCTGGGGTTTGGCACTTGTAGTGTCTACCCCTGTGATCCTGTCTGTTAGGAATGTAGAGACTGACCCCTATGGGAAGGAAGAGCGGTGATGTTCTAGGGGTGTTGATTTGGGATATCAATGTCCTTCTTTGTCAACCTTCCATTGAGGCACTATGGTTTGAACCATTCTTCTTTTGTTCAAAAAGGGCATTCAGATAAAGCAAATATTACTTACAAGGCTCATTGAGGCACATGATTTGCACACACTGCACTGCTGTTGCCTCTGACCAGATGTTAGAGACTTCCTAGAGGATAAAGAGAGATCTTCATTTATCTTCTCCAGTCTGGGTGCTACCAGATCATCCCAGCTGGGGAAATAAATGACCAAAGGAAAATCAGTGCAGGGCTTTCACGATTTTGCGCTGCATCCCATTGACGAAGCTTGCCTACCTCCCCATGCCATTTCTTGCAGTTGTTGGAAATGCCAAATTCTAAAAAGGCCCAGTCAGGGCTCCACAACATTGTCCTGGTCTCTAACATCGTGGGATTAGTTGGCTGGCTAAGGACAGTGTTAAAAGCACACTCGGTTCCTATGCAGCTTTTTCTGGGACTGAAGATGCTGAGCAGGTGCCTACCCTGTTCATAACGCTTTCAATTTTGTAAATACAGTAGTCTCCTCTTACCCCATTCCCATGTAAGCACCATAGTGCTGGATTGCAGTTTTCCTTTTCCCAGGCTTTCCAAGTAGGCTTCCTACCAAAATGGTACACTTCTACAAGGACCCATCCCCAACATGAAAGACGTAGGGGTAATTGCTAAGAAAAGTAAATGTCTTCACTTTCAGACCTTGTCCCATTGTAGAGGGAAGCATCTGTCTAGCTTTGAATGACAGCCTTCTAGTTGAACGTGCTGTCACCTGTGCTTGTTTGCACCTCAGGGAGCTGGTGTTTGCTGGCCTTGTGCCTATGATTAGATGCAGCTGGGTCACATTTGGGACCCACACATGTATATGGGATTCTGTTGTGTAGGATGAGGTGTCAGTCATTTGTAGTGTTAAAGTTGCAGTGTTAGTTCACTATGTGAATACTCACAATTAATTTGTAGTTCTTCATGGCGATGACAGCTTGAACTAATTCCATGGACCTGCTCTGGGCCCAATATAGACAAATGCACTAGAGCTCTTGGAAATGCACTTTGTGGGGAAGGGACTTGCTATCATGGGGAACTGATGTGCAGGCATTACATTTGAGGACAGTTGTCTTAAGTATCTACTGCTAGATGCTCTTAAGGTTCAGCCTTTGCCCTGAAGCTCCTGTTTCTTGTGCTGAATATGTGCTTCCCTTCATAGGTCTATCTTGAAAGTACTGTTGCTTCTCATTCATCAAGGATCTGCTCGTGGGGACTGTCTCTAGTGCTAGTATGTATTTGCAGTAGCAACACTTGCTGACTCCATTTTGCATTTGTGAAGGGCAGGTAGACAGCTGCCCCTGTGCATTGGCCAATTTCTTTTTTTTTTCCAGGGGAAGCTTCCATAACATGTTACTCTAGGAAGACAGTGATGCTTCTTAAGGGACAGGTGCTGAGCCCTGGTTTTGAAGATATGATACTAAGTTTGAGGTATCACCATGTTTGTGTTATGCCTAGCATCTTTCAAATTTACTCTGAAGGTCTAAAATGTGTAAGGAGATCTTATCCCCCAGTCAACTACAATAGCAAAAGAATAAAGGAAAACCATTTTCTTCCTGATACAGTGATTAACTCATTTTAAAACCATCTTTTAAACTTCTTTTTAAAATCTCTGGACCATTAACATAGTCACAGTGCAAGTTCCAGAGCTTGTAAATAGTTTTTTTTATTCCTTCTGTTGCCTAGTTTTGTTTTCATAAAGCTAGTTACTTGTTCATGAAGGAACCAAAAATACTGATGGGCATGGTTTTCTCAGTACTTTAGCATTGTGGTTAGTTTTCAGACAGCTAAGTGCAAATCACAGCCTTGTTCAATAAGCAATAAGCTTTCCGAGTTCATGTTCTTTCAAGTTAAACAAAGGGACATGGTTGTGACTGTTCTTTGAACAAGTACCTTGCTGTGTTGGAAAGGTTTTACCATCAGGGCTTCTTGCATCCTGGAATGGAACTGAGTTGTCTAATTTGAGCCCTAATAGTTGCATACTCATTCTTGGAAGATATTTGTGCAGTCTGTGCACACAGAAGCTTGCACGCAGCCTGTCAGTATAGGAGCAGCTAGAATTGAAATGTAAAGGAATATTTACAGGGCTCATTGGGAAAGTACCCGTACTGCCAGACCAGATGAATTCAAATGGATTTCATCATAAAGGTTCTTTTCTAAACTACTGTTTGAGCATGCAGCAGAGTCAGTTTCTGCAGCTTGACATTTGATTGGATTGGAAGCAACTCTGTAGAGTAAAAGTGCCTTATAGAAGGCACTGACAGATCAGAGGTAAGAAGCAGAATATTTGCCTTCAGCAGCTTTCCCCAGAATTGAGGGACATGATCGTTAGTTCAAACTTGCATCTTTCCAATAAATGGAACATGCTGGATTTATTGCAGTAACATATGGGACTAAGCCAGTAAAGAAATGATGGAAGTTTTACCAAGCAAATAGTATAGTTTGCTGTTCCTAGTTCATATTATTTGTTTTGGCTATAGTGAAAATGTGTGTGTGTTGACCAGAGGAAAAAATATCCAGAGGCTGAGGCAACTAAATAGGAGAGGTTTGAGTGCATCCCCTAGGCCTCCTTCTGCCTTGAAATGAAGGGGACCTAATCTACTCAAAACAAGCTAGCTTGGCTTTTGTACAGTATTCTGCTCCATTTTGTTTTGTTAAATGAATGGGGTAATGTATTTGCCCAGAGAGGAACCAGCATTTGTTGTTACAGTATAGGCAATTTCATAACTATCAAGGTAAGCTGTCTTGGTCATATTTCTAGATATCTGCAACTGCCCTCTTGGTTCTACCTCATTAGCCAAAGTAAAATTCTTGAAGACAGTAATTGAACTACTTATGCCATTTAGGGGTCTTGCCACATTACTGGAAACTATATTGCAGGTATTGTGCAAATACCTAGAGCAACTTTGCAGATTAAAATAGCTCAATATGACACTTGTTTGGTTTTGAACAATGAAAAGCTTGTTACTTTTTAATGCAATTTTTCACTCATGAGAAGATAGCATAAGCAGCCCTATATCGAGGTGCATAGAGGACCCATGGTAAGAGTTTGAGTATATTTTGATAAAGGAGCCGCTGAATGGGACAGCTGTGTCCAACAAAGCCATTTTGCATGCATTATATACATTCAGGTCCTCTTCTTGAGGCTCATGTAAATAATCCTTCCAGTCCGTTCTTGCTGGAATAGCACAGTCTGTTTGTTGCCCTTTACAGCTTGCTGACACTTTTTTGTCCAATAGTGTTGACTTCTGTAGCAGGACTTTGCACGTACTGTGTAGTTGCCTTCATGTAGATGATGAATCAGCTTTTCAGCCTTCTGGAATACATAGCCAGCTATCTCTCTAGCAATACATAGGAACTGCTAGCATTGGTGTATGAACAACATTGAGGGGTTCCCTTATCTTTCCAGTAAGGGCCAAACAGAAGTTCTCCTGATAAGTACCCTTTCTTTTGTATTGGTGGCAGTTGCTGCCTTGGAAGTGTCTTGTCTTCTCCTCAGTTAGAGGTTACTACTGCACTGTGCTTTTTGTCAATAACTGATCTTGCTCTTTCAGTTGGAACAGGAGCCACCTTCTCTTTACTAGCACCTTTGTAGCCTGGACCTGCTGCATGATCTTCTAAAATAACAGTTCATATATAATTTCCCTATGAACGGTGGAGAGTTGCACTTTGGATAATGTTCAGTCTAGATGACTCCAAAGAAGGCCCTCACATGGGGAAAGTATTGTTCTATACCTTTGAGTCTCTCTTCCCTTATCAATGTATCTGAAGGGAGTTCAAGGAAGAATACATAACCTGGCTTCTGTTGAACACTGGTATGGAGACAGAAAGTCTCTTCCAGCTTCTGTAGCCTTACTCACATGCCTGCAGCTATGTTTTCATGTGTATTCTGTCCCTTCACAGTGGACCAAACCACAGATCAGATCAGAGCCCAGTTGCCTTCCTGCTGCTTACAGGATGGGTTACATAGTGTAGTTTTAGAAGGCCAGTAAGAAGAGTTCCTGCTCTGGGAAGGTGCTTTAGCGAGCCAGTCTCTCATCTTGAGAGCAACACCAGCAACTTGCCATGAGCCCTTGGAGTGCACCTTGACCAGTCATTCTGCTGCTATTGGTATATAACAAAGGTGCAGTCTGTGGGCATCTGCTGCTCTACACCAATGCAAGGGAAACTGCTTTATTGCTTGCTGTAAAAGGATCTCCACAGACCATAACCATCTGGGTTTAAAAGGAGAGGCAAGTTCTGTTGGTTTCATGGACTACTTTTTGGCCTTCTGGGGATGGGGCAGGGGAAAGAAAGGGCCTATGTATTTCACTTGTTTTACAGTATGTCTGGAAAGAGTAATCCAAGTCAGGTTCAGACTTTGGTTGTATTTGTACTATTATTGCATGCTTATCTCAGGAGCAAAATATTGTTTTTTATACTTTGAAAAGTCTAAGTGCAGAATGGTCTCTATGAGTACTGCTTGAAAAGGGAAGAAATGTTACTGTGAGAGCAGGGAGCAGAAGCGCACCCTGCAGGAGTGGTTCCCATCCATCTCTTTTGACTTGGCTGGGAGGGATGCAGCATCACATTACAAATTTCTTGTATATTTTTCATAGTCTGTTTCAGTGCCACTTTGTTGGGCCAAATCAAGCTATTGGGCATGAGAAATAACAGTATCTGTATTCCATACAAACACTGCACCCTTGACTCTCCTGTTGTGTATAAAATAATATGTGTATATAAATAAACTGCTGGTTGAGGGGCATTTGACTTTCTATGGATATCTTTCATTCCATCAAGGTTGTTAACTGAGTTCGTAACAGGGATATGTTCACCCTGACCTCCTAATTGTATACCTAGGCTCATAAAACTGGTTCATAAGGGACTAGAAAGAAGATGATTACCTGGAGTGTATGTATGTATTTATTATATTTATATCCCACCTGTTTTTCGTTCACAGAACTCAGGGTGGCTTACATAATTCTCCTCTTCCTCCCAATCTTATCCTCTCAACAACCCTGTGAGGTAGGTTGGGCTGAGTGTGACTGGCCCAAAGTCATCCAGCTAGCTCTATGGAACTAGAACCCAGATCTCCTGAGTCCTAAACCTGCACTCTTAACCACCACATCTCACTGCACTGACTCTTGTATATAAATTCAGCTGTATGAGATGACATGCTGCATGCAGTCAGATCTCAGACAGTGCTTTTTTCACTTCTAGCATATTTTTCTGCTGTTCCTTCCTTCATTGTTGTGTTACATTAGGTCAGGGTTACACAACCTAGTTCGTGTTCTCATGATGTTTTGAGTCAATGTCAGTCCCTGACCCTTAGCCATGTTGGCTGGAGTTATGGGAGTTGCTCTTTAAAACATCTGGATAATGGAGTGCCTGTCCTTGTTCTAGATCATTGTAACTGGATGTTTGGAGTTAATGCTGCTGTTTGATGCTATCCAGTGTGTGTAAGAAAATGATTTGAAAGGAGCAAAGATCTAAGCCAGCCTCCCTCTGAAGAAACTTAATGGTTTTGCTGTTCACCCAGGTGTTACGACATGCAGAAGATGAGACTTAATTCTAGGGAAAGGGTACTTTAAGCCAATGATAGTGCAAATAACTCTTGACTTCCTAGGGTAGAGCTGGAACTCTTTAAGTTCTGAAACATAATAACTTAGGGGAAGGCTGATGCAGAATTGGCCACATATTATTCCTGGATCCACAAAGCGAAGCATCTACCAGAAACAGTTGTCCTCGTAGAAGTCAGTTGTTTGCAACTATCTGCTAAAGAGCATGTAACAAAATCAAAATATTACCAAAATATTTAAGATGTCTCTAAAATTAGCCCTTGTACCAGAGGATTGGAGAAAGAACTAGGTAAATCAATTTTATAAAAGGGATCCGGGGGATCTGGGAAACTACAGGCCAGTTAGCTTAACAATTGGTTCTGGGTAAACTGCTTGAAAGCATTATTACATAGAACCAGTAAGTGTGTGGAGGGACAAGCCCTGCTTTTAAAAAAAAAATAATCAGCATGGCTTCCACAGGGTTGTCACACTTAACCTATTGGAGTTCTGAGTGCCAATAAGCATGTCAACAGAGGATCCATTAGACATTGGTTACTTGGGCTTCCAAAAGGCTCACCAAAGGCTCCTGAGCAAACTAAGCAGTCATGGAATAAAATGGGGAATTCCTTTATGGATCACCAACTGGTTAAAGAACTGATGACAGTGACTATTTATAGCAAATATATAGTCACCTTAACCCTCTTATGTCTAGCTTTCTGGAGGAGAATATCCATAGGCCTGCTTGGTTCAGGATCATTAGGTCATCTGACCTGCACCTACAAATGGCAGCTCTAGGACATTACAGGGGTACCTTGGCTCATGAACTTAATCCGTTCCACGACTCTGGTTGTGACCCAAGTCAAATTTCCCCATAAGATTCAATGTCAATAAAGTTAATCTATTCTGTAACTATTTTTTTAATCAGAAATTTTGAAACAAAGTGACAACAAAGTAACAAAGTACAGTGGAGAATACTAACCTAGGTGGGGGGAGGAGGTTAACTGTTTTGAGGGAGAGTTCCCCTCCATAAGGACATTGGGGAGATCTCTTTCAGGGATTTCCTCTCTTCTTTGTCTCTTAGCTGCAGGGTCAATTTTGGTGAAAAATCTGTCTATAGTCACTTGTTTTTTCCTGTGCTTGCATAACCGTCTGGAAATGAGAGACTGTTAGTTATGTTGGGGTGGTGCTTCTCAAAGAAATCCTGGCATGGGCGTGCTCCTGCAGGAAAGACGGGTGCAATCTCAGCCATCTCCCCCCCCCTGCAACCAGCACAATCGTGGCCATCCCCCCCCCCCCCCCGAGTGGGGAGATATCCACAGTCACAGTTGTGTATGTGCAGGGAAGACGTGCGTGATCACAGGTGTGCTCCTGCAGGAAAGATGGGTGCAGCACAGCACAGCCGCGATCACGCATGTGTTCTCTGCACGATCTCTGCACGCATGTGTTCTCTGCACGATCTCTGCACGCATGTGTTCTCTGCACGAATGTAAGTGTGATCATGACTATCTCCCCACTTGGGGGGGGGGTGGGGAGATGGCTGTGATCTTGGTCGCCACCCAAAGCAAAATTTTCATGAAATTTTTGTTCGTGACCCGATTTGGTCGTGAACCAAGGTGTTCGTGAGCCGAAGTACCACTGTACTTTTTTGATGCAGGGGGATTACAACCTCAAAAGTGCTTTGTCTTTGAAGCATAGTATTCTTTCTCTTCCCACTTTACCATTTCAGATTCAAACATGATTTCTGCAATGGCACCATTAGCAGGTTTTGATTTTGAGGAAAATTATCTTGCCTAAGGTGGTGGTATAAGGGAAAAAATGCAAACATCTACAACTTGCAATTACACTAGCAGGGCTTTGTGGGGTATGGGAAGCCATTCTTCACTGATCAAATCCGACTGATGTTTGCCAGGGTATTAATGTCACTTAAAGATTGGAGGAACTAGATGCAATTTACTGTGCCTGTTGGCATCAATTCTGCATCTAAAAGGATGAAAGGAACCCTATTCATAGGCTCCTTAGGAAGCCCTCAGTCCTGAGCATTAACAGGGCTACAGAAAGAGGCAAATTCCTGTTGAGGCCTGTTGCTCATTGACACTGAGGCCCTTACCAAGGAATAATCCACTGTGCAGGAGGTGCACATCTATCCAGTTGCAGTGATGACTCCAGCTACTCTGACCTTAAAAGGATAAAACTGCATGTTAACCCACCCCCTAGTTTGTCCCTTGCTATTTTGGTACTGAGAAAATCCTGTTTTCCCTTTTGCTCTAGGGTCTGTTACGGTGCACTGTGAATGCTAAGGTGATGTTGCCTATTTCCTTGTCACTGTTAACATGGCCAAAGTGAGCCCTCCCCATTTCCTTTAGTCACCTTTCCCATTTTGTGTAACATTTTTTAAAGAGGGATCCAGTTTTAAAATGCACTATTTAAGAACCTGAGTATTCCTGTAGCGTCTTTCTATTACAGAGCAGAAGTGCGGGGCTCAATTTCACTGGCCTCCACGAACTGGCCATACTCCTGGAGAGAGACAGCTTTGCGCTTGAGTGCTGCGTAAACGGTAGAGAACTAAGCGCCCACCCAGGGCTCAGGGGCGGAGCAGCCTGCCCGCAAAATGCTCGGAGGCCTGGAATGGGCCTCTACCGCCTCCTTGCTTGTCCCAGTCCTCTGCTTTCGCCAGTCCGCTCCTCAGGCGCCTCTACCAACATGGCGGCACCAGCAGCCCAGCCCACTGCCTCTTCCGGGCTGGACCTCCAAGCCCAGCAATTGCATTGCGAGCGTTCCGGAAGTCCGCGAACCCCCTAGCCGCGAGGAGGGCGCCAATGCGGCGAAGGGCGGGAAGGGTTCCACGTTACTATGGAAACGGTGGCCTAGAACCGCGCCAGGAAAGCTATTGGAGGGGATGGCAACTTCTCACCCGCTTATCAGGCTCAAGTTTCGAAGCAGGCAAGTGGGACAGCAGCCTGAGCGTGGTGCCCTCCAAACGGCTTGCACTACAATTCCTATAGTCCCTTAGCATGGGTCATGCTGCCTGGGTCTTCTGGAGGAAGTAGGTCAGAGCGCGTGGGCGGCATCATGTTGCCCAAGTTTAGCCCGCTTCAGTTGCTGGAGGGTTAGTCTCCTTGAACACTGTAGGGCTACACCCGAGTAAACGTGCTTAAGATTAGGCGATAAACCCCCTCTGCTTGTAAATACGGGGAAATGGCAGCTTCTGAGCTACTCTGATGTTACTGTTTTGTTTTAACTCGTCTTTTAAAGTAGCCAGCGCTACCCTTCCACTCCTCCTCTAGTCAAACTTGGCCCTGTGCACGCATCTGCGCTGAAGAAAGGAAGAGCGGGGTTAACTCGCCCGTTCTGCGCTTTTAAAACCCTTAAATCCTGCTAAAAGTCTGAGAAACATACCACAGAGATGATGTGGCTGGGGTAGCCAGTGGTTTGAAGACGTTGCTGTGCACTTTTTGGTCAGCAGTCAACTCCACCCATAGAAGCTGTGCAAGAAGGGTGAGGTAGCCGAGAGTAGCAGTCGGTCGCCTCTGCTCTCTTGGGAACAGGCACTGCTGTTCCGTTGCTGGGTGCAATACCGGGCTTTCGCTAAAGATGTCACCCTCCGATCAGGGATGCCGTGGCTCGAGTGCCTCGACTGCGCCGGGTTAGTCGGGTCGGGCCGTTGCAGCAAAAGGACAAGACTTTGGAGCACTGCAGAGGCAAACGAAGGTATTGCTGCATAAGCTTTCCTGAATCAGAGGCCACCTTCTCAGATAGAGGCCATAACCGCAGTGGATAAGTATGTACATCCTAAACACAAAGCGAAGTGGGGAGGGATGTTTGTACAAAGGTGGGCTAATCTGCCATTAGGGCTACCGAAGAGAGGAGGACAGCTTGTGTTCCTCAGGGGATACGGTGGAATATAAATGTAATAAATGAAGAAATAGTATAGAAATCCACTGCATAAATATATATATTACACACCATACTCTCTCAACTGGCAATGAATAGCCAAAGTGTGATCATTACATATACTGAAATGTTCGACTTTTTCTTGCAGCAAACTAAACCACTCCCATTCATGTACTAGAAAAGCCTGTGGATAGACATGGGTAGACCCACATTCTGGAGACTTGTGGCAGAGCAGGGCATCACTTTTTGCACAGGTAATAGAAGTAAAAACTTTTCCTATATGCAAAGCAATAGACAAAATTGTAGCCTCACTTCT